ACCGGGTAAGGAAACACACAAACAAAACATAAGAGAACTTAATACACACAGAATATTCCAACCAACAATTCCATATTTCTATTTCAGTTGCGGCCGCCGATGAGCTCGGCGTTAACGAGTTCTGACAATTCCGGATTAGTGAGGTAACAAAACAAACAATAAATGTTATAATACAATACACCGTATTACACACACTGTGTGCAACACCTACCTATTGCTTCAACATTATTTCATACTACCACCTCACTTTCTATTTACTTAGTCATACCAACTTTCTTATTTATTCCACACTATCAAATATGTTTATTTATTGTTTTAGGTATATCTCCGCAACAGTAAAGTCCATTTTACATACACTGCACTCATCCATCATCTTATTGTACATACCACCCAGCATCCCCTTATACATGTCACAATGTAGAGACCATTGCTCATCACTCGTACAACACACCCTGACCAGAAGCCAAACATTAGTATCCAACCTAAACAATTCAAAATGGGTCATCATATTCAAAGACTACATGAATCAAAAAATGACATTTGCACCAACATCAATGTGTAGAATCACTTTAACATTGTCCCCCTATTTCACTGGTATTTTCATCTGATTTAATTATCCTTGTTAATTTATATTTATCTATGTAATCAACAAGTGTCGATTCATCTGTTTATCATCTATAATTTGTCATCATCATTATCAGGTCCTTCAAAATTGTTCATTTTGTTCTAATTTCCTCACATGCTGCTTTAAATTCCGAATTGGATTTTCGTTGAAAATTCTCGTGATGTTGGATATTGGACGCGGCAGTTTCCACTTGGGTGGAGGGAGGGTTCGTCCGTCGGATCAGGTAGCGTGGCTCGACTGCTTGCTCGCTGTTTGCCTCTTGTGTTCCGTCAATGTGTTGTGCTTACTGCATCTCTTGTACCGGACCAACGACGATGCCGTGTTTCTGGTCTCTGATAGGGACATCGACGAGTATTGCTACAAATACATCAAGTGATCCGTCACTGCGCTAGTATGCATGAAGATTGAAAATGGTGCGGTAATAGGAGAATACGTCCGTATTGTAAATACATAGTATGTTTAGTGACTAGGTGTGATGTGACACTAAAACTAAAAGGCTTACAAACACAATAATGCAAGGTTTGGTGATCGGTTGGTTGTGATAGAGAAACTGATGGTGCTAGAACTGACATAAAAGTCATAGCATGGAGTGTCTATGAGTTTGGTTTGAAGAGCACGGCACTGTTAGCACGTATCGATTAGGCCATCAAGTAGCAACTCGTTAAACTGTTAGTGACGACTGTTGTGTTGTTTGACTGTAGGTAGTCGTGTGGTTTCTTACATTTGTATTGTAACATTATTTTTAACACTTGAATTTACTTTGATTATGAATTATATCTCTGTGTTGCACGCTGCCCCGGCAGAACATAAAGGTGAGGTTCACATAAAAAAGTAGAATATCTATAATAGTTTTGAATAAAAATCAACCAAGTACCATGTATTCTTCCTATGCTGTACTAACAAAATGTGTTGTAGCAATTTATAAAAAGCTGCTGACAAGCATTGCTAATATGGTCGTTACTTTCGCAGTTGGAATGAACAAGCTAGCGTGAGGAAGCTGCCGTCTTACAGTGAAGCACAAAAGACTAAGAGACCTGTTACCAACGGGACAGTGAACAAATGCCAGTGCGGTGTTAGGAAAGTGAACGGACACAGTAACGGAGACGAGATCCGAGCCGAGCCCGTGCAGCTGCGGACGAGCAGCCGCGTGGGCAGCAAGTACCTGCAGGCGGTGGCGGGCGACGGGCGGCGCTACTTGAGGCGCGACGCGTCGCTGGGCGAGCGCCACGAGCGGCGCGCGCCGGGCGCCGCGCGCAGCCGCTCCATCGAGAACTTCCAGCAGCAGCCGTTCGCGCTGGGGCCGCGCCACACGTCGCACGGCTCGCTCGGCGCGCGGCACACGTCGCACGGCTCGCTGTGCGACAGCGCGCGCCGCAGCCCGGGGCCCGCCGGCCAGTCCACCGACACGGACTGCAGCTCCGACGGCGGCTACAAGTCGCTGCCTTCTTCCATCAATTGCAGCGCCTCGCCGAAGAAGGTCAGCGGCATCCCGCGGAGGTCTATCGAACAAAAATTCCTTTCCACTAAACATGTCAAAGCGAGTGCTATATGATGTGACGTTTCCGTTTATTCCCCGCATTGTTGTGATATTATTTTGAATCGGTTTGCTGGACAGTGTCCGGACATAATGTATCAGAGTTCCGCTTGTATGTTATATATCGATTACGTCAGTCCATCTACTTCGAGTGTCTGGACACTGTCCGCATGTGCGACGTGTGTGACTGCGATTGTGACGTCACTAACATAATGACGTCACTAGGGCGCTAGAGCAACGCTTGTTCGCATTTATTTCCTCTCATCGTAAAGCTAAGTAATTAAGCTACATTTAGTTGAACGATGCCAAATTATATCGATGTTATAGTTTGATCTAATATCCTAAAATCATATTGTAAGGTTTTAGTTGACGAGAAATTAAACATTTCATAATCCGATGCTTAGTGCATTTTATTTTATTGTAATCAAACGAATATTGACCTCCTGTATAATACAGTTAGTGGATTACCTTAAACGGAAACTAATTTTGTAGATTTAATTTACAAATTTGTATACAGGCGATAAAGTTATCTTAGATTTTCTATGGTAGACAAACTAGTAAATAAAGCTGTCATATGTGATAAGAGTGGCTGTAAGACCTTATATTTAATTTATACCTACGACATGATATCTTCCCTATTGTTAATCACTAGTATGGTTCCTTGTGTATCGGACGTGACATAATCAAAATTAACTTATTCATGTTTTACGAACATTAATTTGCTGTGTAAAGTTATTTAGACAAAGTAGGTATCAAATAGGTACAAACATCACTCGCTTATAAGGCATTTTAAATATCCAGATGTCATTTTAAAGCATTTGTCGAATCAATGTTAATGTAATTTAATATTTAAAGTTAGTAAAACGTAATCTTCTGCAGAGCCTAAAGTTAAGTATCCTATATTGATACCTAGAACGATTACCTATGTATGTACTTCAGGAATATATTTCAATTTATTGTGTACCTACTTATGGCTACTTGTATCTATCCAATATATTGCGCTTTCCTACGTTAGTTACATAAGTCTAAGCCCACTAGCTTTAGTAAAGATTATTTAATTTAAAAATTGAAGTTGTTTCAATAAATAATTTTAATTTTTGTTTGTTTTTCTTTAACCTACGGGTTACTCACATACATAAATGTTCGACGAGGTTACTCGACTAGTTTCAAGCCACGCCAGGGGCCCATGATCATGTGCAGCATGCGCGACAATCGAGCGTCGAGATTCACCATCGTGCCGCTGCCACTGTTCGCAACATTTTATGTATGCGCGTAATTAATGTATTTTTACCCTCGAACTATAATAATGGAATCATTACAATGATTTCATATGTATAACATTATTAAGTTATCATAATATCAAGCATACATAACCTACTTATTGTTTTAAAATACTTATAAAGGCTTACACAGCCTGTAAAAGTGTTGTTATTTGAAGACGGAATTGTGACTTGTATAGTAAGTTTTTTAATTTGTGTACACCTACTTATTTTAATAAAGAATTTTATAAAACAAAACCATCGTGCCGCTCTCGGAAACTAATCGAGTGACGTGTACAAGCGGTGTATAAAAAATGGCGTAAATGTAAAATAATATCTATCAAACTATACAAAATAAATAAAAATGTAGGGTTCGATTCCCTACTCCTTACTACCTACACGGAACAGAAATTGTATTGACACAAATGAAAAACGTAGTTATAAAATTATACTAAACCATAAAAAACAATTGGAAATAAGCCGAGAGCATCATGATAACCGTCAGAAGAAATTAACAGATTAGAGGTAAGAATGAGATCTATGGTGTTATTTAAGTTTAGAATTTAGAAGTGGGAGGTCGTTACGTCACAGCGTGCAACAACACAAAACATAACACGTTGTGACGTCTCACGATATTTAAAATTAATATATCGTCGAAAGTATTTTATTTTGTGAGAAAAGAAAAAATACGTGTCCAATGTTTTAAATTAATTAGTTTAATGTTCGTCTAACATTAAACTAAAATTTAGGAAACTACCCTATTAGGTAGGCGAGCACCACAAACACCCAAATCAGAATCATGTGTCAAAAATACCAAAATACGTTATTGCTACGACCTCCTTGGCTACGGCCGTAGCGAAAACAAAGCTATAACCAAAATACAAAATCTTATCAGGAAAAAACTTAGAGATACTTAAAATATTTAAGGGAAAAAAGCCTACAAAATAAAGATTAAAAGAAATCTTATCAGAAAAATATTTCTAAAGGATTTAACCAAGAAAGGCAACTAAAGATATGGTAGAAAGAACATAGTTACCTACTATATGAAGTAGCTGAGTAATAAAATTATTTTATTTCATTATACTTTGATAAACGCAGATTTCGTAATTGTATTACGTAAACTCATAAATAAAAGTAACAGAACAGTGATAGACAACTATATCCGTTAAAAATCAACGATGCCAATAAAATTTAAGAAACTGAAGAAATAATATTTAGTGCGTAGATGATTTAATAGACCAAAACAGTGTATAGGTAACATTGAGTAAGAAACAGCATTAACCAGCGATTTCAAAGAAGCAAGGCTGGATTGACATATTCCTATTTGTATTTTGATGTTAGGTGGGTAGAGCAGTGGGCTGTTGACATAAAATCGAGTTACGTATTGATCTAGCAGAGAAAGATAAACTCTCCACAGCTACTGTGTCATAGCTCACGACACAATCACCTCGTTTCTATAATTATTGATTTTACAATGACTAGTGGAGAACATTGTTAGTGTTTCCATTTGGACCTTGGACGAAGAGTCGATAAGCGAGGGAATCACGTCGTGTTGTATCGGTCGGCGGGTACGGCTGTGATGGCGGCACGACTGGCCCGACCTACGGCCGCGGCCCTCACTCGCCGACCGCACCGCGCCTGCGCCACACCGAGCGCGCCTCCCGCCATCTTTTCAAAACTTTACAACTGACAATCTGACAATCAAAAATATCGGACGTTTGTGTTGCACTTTGATGACTTGACGGTGATAAAAATAAAAGGTTGGTTCATTTACTATCTTATACTAATTCCATTCATTCATTTACATCTGATATACGCGAGAGAATAGTTGTCTAGCCATAGTTTCTCAATTCATTTTCAATTAATTATTTTGTGTATTTTTATTATGCTAGCTGTCAATTATTAAACGTCTATGTTGACAAGCAATTTTCATAAACCAAAGAGTATCTCTTTAACCTACAACGGCGATTGCCTTAATATTTTTTTAATAAAAACTTTTTTGTGCACCGATTCACCGAATTTACCTACGCACGTGTGAACTAATAACAAAATTATGCAGTGAGTTAACATTTAGAAAGACATTGTCATTGTTGGTATCACAATATTTTCTTATTTGCACGTAATGCGGACGTCAGTAAATAAAATATAACTAAGCGTTACGTATTACAAAGGATGAGACAGTTTAGTGATAAGTATAATTATCGGTTGCAACAGGGTCACTTAGATAGGAGAAGAGTCAAGACGCTTGGACGTCAGCTTTCTAAATAAATATTTACCTATTTACTCGGCTGATTAGAAGTCCTTGAAGGAAACCTAACCTTTGTCACAAAGGGCGATAGGAAACACTTCCTAGAGATTTTATGACAAAGTTTAATAAAATCCACGATAACTAAAAATCCACAACATTTGTTCATACAAAATTAGTCTCAAAATATCGTGAATAAAGTCTATAAAGGAGTACCCAGTTTTACTGTTTATATTAACAGCATTTTTTCTACTCATAGCACATTTTCTAGAAATTCAGATAAAGAAGAATAGTTTGTATATAGTAAATATTTAATAAACATTTAGTCTGGCCATTTAATTCCATCGTAGTTATTGTTTGGGAACAATGAGAATAATTAACTGACACGAAGTTATTTGACGCAAATAAATGAATTCATTAGAATATTGATGAGCATATACCTAACTAATTTTATTCCTTGATACCGAATACAAAAAAAAATGTTTATTCTGTTTTAAATATCAATTAACAACGCTTGATAGTCATTATCACTAACAGTAGATATAAAACAAAGTCGCTATCCGCACCGTCTGTATGTCCCCATGTATGCTTAGATCTTTAAACTACGCTACGGAATTTTATGCAGTGCTTTTTAGATAGAGTGATTCTTAAGGAAGGTTTATATGTATAATACATGCATATTTCACCCGTGCGAAGCCGGGGTCGGGTCGCATTGTAGGTATATCCTGATTCACAAATCAAGATATATTATGTTTCGAACTTATGATTTACTAGTATAAAACGCAGCTACTTAAAAAAATCTAGACAATGTATCGAGTAAAAAGTAAAAAAGTGCAATAAAAATGACGAAACTTGCACAAACGTTTACTAAAACCTCTAAACACATAAATATTGTAAACAACACATTATTATATTGTATAGTTATCTCAATAGAATACCTATTCATTTATCAGTGATTAAGATAACGTCAGTCGTCTTAATCTTGGCCGTTGACCTTTCACAATTAATCATTCAAGATAAACGAACGAGTATTAACTATTTGTCGAAATACTTTACAATTATTATGTTTGAACTACATATCGAGATTGCCACGCATGTCTAATAATTTAACTCAAAATTTATTATAACCGAATACAAAAAAATTTCTTAGTTTGACCTGTAGCTATGTATGGGCGCGATTATTTCGTGATTGGCTGAACTGACTGCCTCGTTGGCCGAGTGGTCGTAATTGCGACTGGCCGGGCAAGGGGTCTCGGGTTCTATTCCCGGGTAGGGCAAAGTATTACTAGGCTTTTTCAAAAAATCTCAGTAGTAGCACGGAGTCTGAAATTGTGCCCGGTAACACCCACTTACTTATCACTATTTATGTTATGAGTGCCATGTAATAGGGGGTGAGCCTATTGCCATATACCGGGCACATTTCCAGACTCCGTGCTACTGCTGAAAAACCCAGTAATACTTTGCCCGACCCGGGAATGGAACCCGAGACCCCTTGCCGGACTTACAAACACTCGGCCAATGAGGCAGATAGATGTTATATTATGTAAATGTTAAGATTTCTATCTTGCGCAACCGATTAACAGTAAAAGTAGATCTAAACAGTTTGTTTTTAATCTTAAAGCCACTCAACTATTTTAAAGTCCTTTAACAATTAGGGCATAAGTACTAGAATCTTCAAAATATCATCATAAGCAATGGGACTTGATACAGAGATAATTTTGATCACATTCTATATTTGTTTAGTTAAAGAATAAATTTTATGAATGAGTGTAACCTTTCACCAAAGGTGGGAGAAAGTGAATGCACGGACGTCAGTTGTCGATTGACCACAGTCAACAAATAGCTACCTTATAAAGTTTAAATTTTTTTCTATAATTTTCGTTTGAAATTTGTGAATGTGTGAGTTTGTCTGCATAAAAAAGGGTTTTACAATTTCTATAACTTGTAATTGAAATTGTTCTCGATCTATTTGTTTGTGTGTAAAACAGATTTGGATATCAATTATTATCTGTGATTTATTTTAATTGTATTAAAAGTGGAAGATATTGCATTTTTTCGATTCGTGATACAAGTGGATTAACTTTAGATTATGTGGTCATTTAACTGAGTCGTTAAGTACTAAATTTTATTTATAGTACTAGATGTATAGTTATATGTGATGTGTGTGAAACTTGAAACAAATGTAAATACAGGTATGTTTTGTAACTACTAGGTACTTAAATAAAATATTACACTGCTTTGCCTGTCAATGAGAAAACGCCTACACTCGGAGAACCTAATGGGTTGCCGGGGCTCCGGCTCGACGTGCAGGAGAAGGAACGGGGTGGTTTTTAGTCAGTAAGAGTCTGACACTCCCTTCCGCCTCACCCAGGCGGGAGCAGTCATTCGATGATTTTCCCCCCTTAAAAAAAGATACTATTTTTTACTCGATGATTGTTCAGTCAGCAACCACCACGCGTGTCTTCTTTCTACATACGATTAGCATTGTGTCTCGCGAATATCTATGTTCCAGCATACCATGGCTTAATTAAGCCTTTGACTGCCGACAGTAAACTGTTGAAGGCAAATCCTCCGCTAACGTAGGTCACCGGTGACCTACGCGACGGTTAACGTGTAAAAGTACCGGTAATTTTACAAGCCTATATGCTAGACCTACTCGTTCATCGAAGTAATTACAATTACATTAAAAAAAACACTACAAGCGAATAATTCGCCGGTCCGATATAACGATGTCGGTGTTTCATAACAAAATATTGAGGGCAAGCCGGTCCACTTCACTATCTAACTAAAACTACTAGTACAATGCAAAATATAAAACAATACTTAACACAATCACACCCGTTTTGTTTATAAACATATTAATAAAGATCCGGGTATGTAAAACCCGGTAGATTATGTAATTGGTATCTTTCGTATAAAGAGTCTTATGAATTATATCAGAAGTCTGAACACTATAACCAAAACAATGAAATTATCTACTATTATCGTACGCAATACTCAATAGGTAATTTAAGAAATATTATAAATGTTTATAATTTATATTTTACTAGCGGCCCTGACAGACGTTGTCCAGCATTTAATATAATAATCGGTACCTATAGATAAATAACCTAGATACCGACTGCAGCGCCATCTGCCGAGCTAATTTGTGAATCTAAACCATTCCCAGATCCCCTTGAACACACAAAAAAATTCATCAAAATCCGTCCACTCGTTTGAGAGAAGTTCAGTGACATACACACTCAGAAGAATTATATATATAAAGATTTACTAATGAGTGGAGATCACGAACCGGAAGACGAAGCGTGGGCAGGCCTCCCGCTAGGTGGACCGACGACATCGCCAGAGTTGCGGGGAGCCAGTGGATGCAGGTGGCGAGTTGTCGTTCAACGTGGAGGACTAAGGGGTAGTCCTTTGTCCAGCAGTGGACGTCTTTCGGCTGTTGATGATGATGATGATGATGATGTACTTATAATTAATAGTTCTGTACCTACTACGCTGCAGAAGTGGTTGCTCTATGAAAGTTTTTATTCGATAGACGATTTTTTACTTTACTTATAGCTTTGACTGCCAATAGAATACTGTTGCGGATCATTTTTCCGCTAACGTCGCGTCGGTCACAAATGGCGTTTAATGTGTTAAATATCCATGTACATTTTATTCAAACAAAAGAACATTAAAATATTAATAAAATTATTAAAATTGTGACTCTGGATAATATAACTAGGTACTGATATAGAAGACTAAATATATTTCTAATAGTTATTATGACTTTATTTTATGACATTAAACATTTACATTTATGATATGAGCAAACATTATATTAAATATTTGCATGCCTGACCTGTTAAAATGTGAGGATCTTAAAAATATTGTATTATATCGTAATGTACCAGTTTTCAAGCAAATAAAATTTGATTTAATAAAGCCGAAATAATGCTAAGATTTACTCGCGAATATGAAGAGGTAACTATTAAAGTTAATAATATTTTGGTTATCTCGAGGTAGGTATAAAGCACTCGCCAGTTACATTCGCAATTATTATTAATGAAATTGCGGTTAAATTAATTAAGATAATGGCCTACTTATAATGACAAATACTTATTAACCGCTAAATGTGTTGCTAGCTGTAAAACTTGAAAACGAAACAAAGATGGAGGTCCTGATTTTGATCTGTATATATGTCTGTTCGCGTTTATCTCCCGATTGACTGAACCAATATTGATGCGGTGTTCAGAAAAATGTTTTTTACTATTAGGAGCAGATTTTAATATTAGCTTTGGTGAACCAACTGTTCTTTTTTTAATTTGGTTTATTGAAAAATATTTATTTTATAAATATAAATATTTTTCACCCCCTATTACATGGGACTCATAACATAAATAGTGAAAAGTGGGTGTTACATTGTACAGTGGCATAATGTACACCTCTGCCTACCCCTTCGGGCATAAAAGGCGTGATGTTATTTATTTTATAGAGAAGTACAAGAAAACGTTGTCAAAAATAGATAGTATTTTCGCTGTGCTTACATTTAACCCAAAGGTTGACTGGGAGAAAATGCCATATGGCATTGAGTCCGCCTTATGTACCTTATTTTGTGTGCATTAAAGTGTAAGTAAATAAATAAATAAATAAAATAGTAGACATCTGTTACGCTATCAAATACCTACGTAAATTAGAAAATCAAACACATAACAATATTGTTTACGCGTCTAATTGTTTTCAATTCACTTCGTTGTTATCAACGATAGTTTAGAGACAACGCAACGAACCGAATCACATGTAGTATATATATATAATGTACTATATAGTTACTATAATGTGCACTTAGGACCCTGCATGCACTTAATATTAAACAAGTTGCTTATCCGAATCGGTGACGCTAGATTTAAGTTTTCAATGATATTTAAAGGACTTTATATACTTACTTTGGCCATTTATATAATGAAATTAACGTATTTTCTCCTATTTCTTTCATGTTGTTAAATAACACTTATCGATTTAAACTTTGTACAGAAATGAGATTGTAAAGTTTTATCAAAATAATCAACAACAATTAGTTTTCGTCTGCTGGACATAAGCCTCTCCAATGGCATGCCACTGAGCTCGATCTTCAGATCTACGCATCCAACCACTACCAGCTACTTTACGTACATCGTCACCCCACCTAGCTGCGGGAGCCCTACACTACGTTTGCCTAGACGCTGTCTCCACTCCAGAACAGAACAGTCATCGGTTCTTCGACAAATCTGACCGACCCACTGCTATTTCAGCTTGCTAATCCTTTGGGCTACACCGGTAACTTTATTTCTCTGACGGATCACCTCGTTACAGATCCTATCCTCCAGAGAGACTCCGAGCATAGCCCTCTCCATAGCTCGCTGCGCCACGTTAAATTGGTGGACCAGTCGCACTGTTAGTGTCCACGTCTCGGCTCCGTATGTCGTTACTGGTAGGACGCATTCGTTGAAGATTTTTGTCTTCAGGCTTTTTATCAAAATAATGTATCACTGTTATCAAGTCCCTAACTATACCTAATGTTTCTGATAGACAGTTCAGTATCATGCATATTCTGTGTAGTTTAAAGGTAAAGGTATTCTATATTACTCTTAAACCTCACAACTATATCCAGATTCAACAATCATACCACAAAAATAGAAAAGCTTTGTTGCAACGCGAAAGAAAAACGAAAGAGCCTATCCCATTCAGAATACTTATAAAGCATCAATATACCATCTCAACTAAATTCTATTTGAATTCTGTTCATACAACTGCGGTGACAAATGTCGTCCAAAGGAGTTTTGCTGTTATTGGTTCCTCTTAATCTGAACTGAGCACAAATCACCGTCACTATATAACTGTGCTATCATTAAGAATAAACCTATGTGTAATTACGTTATCTCGTACAGAATTACGTCAGAAAACAATATAAATAGAGTACAAACGTACAATTGATGAATCTATCTTATTCAGCCAGCAGTCTTCGTAAGAATATGACCTCAAAGCGCAGAGGCGTGCGCGCGCGCCTCGCGGATGAGTTCTACACGTATTGTGCGTTTTGGGTCGCTGTGTCTACCCTACCCGTGCTTGCCGTTTCATATATTGGTAAGTTGCCTGTTTTAGCCTTTAAATGTGTATTAATTTACCCCGACAACAAAGTGAATAATTGAAACGTAAAGACTAATCACCTCATTCGACACTGAACGACTATATTATCCTTACCCTTATCGTTTTGAACTACAGTGAATTTCAAACATCAATAAACTAAACAGGAGAATTGAAATCAGAGACCCATTGCTCATTAGTAAAGTTTACGTAAACTTGTGAGGCGTTATAATGAGACAAATAAACTATGATGATATAAAGATTTAATTAATTGTAAACACAACAACAAACAACAAAAATAAATTAGTGTATGTATTCAAATATATTTATTTAAATTCCAGTCGTACGAGTAAGCAAATACCTCTGGCTGAAGCTACTGTCCAGCAGGTATCCACACCTAGAATTTATATGGACAGACACAGTGCGCACTTTACTCGATACTCACAGAAACCAGGGAATCATCAATGTTTTACTCTCTGTAAAAGGTATGTAACTTAAAACATTTTATTAACCATCTATCGCAAAGTACAATTTATATGGTAAGAACTTTTATAGGTTTATTCATAACTTCAACAGATTTGTTCAACATAATCATGACAGCAAAATGCAGTGACTTCAAACCGATCATAATGAATCGAAATGTTCTATGCACATTTACATTGAGGAAACCAAAACAGAAGCAGAATCTTAGATTCTACTACTTCTGCATAGTAAACTGACAAGCATACCCCAATATCAACCGATTTAGAAGATATTAGGGAAGGACTTCTGTTTAGCAGGGGTCTATTCCAATGATGATGATACCTCTAAACTCTATTAATCTTTTCCACTCCAGGCACATTAGATCCAGAACAAATAAAGAATCATCTAACTGACCATGTAATCAACAAACGGGATAAGAATGATGGCATCATGTTCCCGAGACTGCGGCATCAGCTGGTATCCAGATGGGGGAACTATGCGTGGAACCCCAGCGTGATATTCAGGCCCGAGAACCACTTCATTGTGGCCAGCGCCGTCTATCGGGGGCGACAAGTCGGCGAACATAATATTCAGGTACACTTACTACAACTTAAAACAAGACCTATTAATACGTGTTTAACGCAAGACTATACAATACAGTGGTGATCAGTAAATAATAAGTTCAAATGGATATGAACAATAGAGTTAAAATGAATTCTTCCATCGCCATTGGCTATAAATTCAACGTAAAGAACCAAAATGCTTTATATCAGCTTTTCGTAGATCAATGTGTAACTAATCATAAACCGATTTCATTTCCAGGAATACGTGAGTGATATTGTATCAAAATACTTCGCAAGTGACCAATCTCCGTGGCAGTACATCGTCATCCCATGCGTGTCTGCAGAACCTAAGTACTACATCCTAGTCCGCGTACATCACCTCCTGCTCTCAGGGAAGAAGTCTTTGAACATCGGCGACTTGCTCCTCATGGAACAGATCAACCCTTCTGACAGAATCATTGTATCACCGGCAGAGTACACACAACAAAGTCCATTAACACAACTGTCCCCCTCACCATCAGCTATTCCTGAGCTATGGGGCAAAGTCAATGAGAACCTATCGAATGCCTGGAATGAGTTTGTATCAGAATACGATCCAGTAGAAAGTCCAAGAGCCCTAAAAACTCTACCTGGAGCATTCCACGTGGCAGGTCTAGTTCTAATTGCAACTGTGAGTGCACTGAGAGAACTTAACAAGAAGTCTAATGGCAGAGATACGTCTTCAGAAGCTCCTGTCACTGCACTGACACTTTTAGCGGCAATCCAAAGAGAATGTAACAGGAGGAATTTAACTATACCAAAGGTAAGACACTATTTTATGAAACAATTTAGTAAGTCTGTAAAAATCTAAAGTTAGTTACTTAAAATCATCTCATTTACAGATAATCATATCACCACTAATAACAGCGGACCCTAGAAAATGGCCGGGAATGGCAATCGGTGCAATTTTCACATCAATGCGTCACTTCTTTGTACTGCCGCTTCGCGTTCGCAACGAACTGATTGCTTTGAACGAGTTACGAAGTTGTGGTCATGCGAGACAACCAGACACACTGACGTGGAAGTATGCAGAGCTGGCGCAGCTGTGCGTGGCTGCTGTAAGCGAGGCTTGCCAAGGAGTACTCGAAGTATATCGTGCTCCTGCCAGACTTTGGACTGATACGATCGGAGCTGACGATGGGAACCGACATGTGCTGCAGACCGTGTCTTTGTGCGGGAGAAAGGTAAATTATACGTAACTTTTGAATGCTATGCATAAGTTGTATAGAATAACAAAGCAATGTTCACAATGTAAAATACTACTTAAAATGCATGGTACAATTGTTTTACCTAGTACAAAACGGTACAAACCTATAAGGACACACTATGCTATCAATAATAGGCAAAATATTTAAAATGCCTTCCTTCATACATAGGCATAGAATAAAGTTATTTAATACGTCACTTTCCTTGTCTTCAGGTAACAGCATGGTCGCGGCCCGTGCCTCGAGCGGGAGTGGAGCGCGCAGCTCGAGCGCTCGACGTGTCCTCAACTGACATAGCGCTGTACGCCGTCACAGAAGCATTGAGGGCTTTCTTCGACAACTCACAGTCACACGCACCTGAATCGGTTCTCACAACCGCACGAGCAGCACATGAGGACTTCCTCTACACCTTCGCCGAGGGACACGGAAAGAGTTATAAGAAGTCACAAACTGGAGGTAAGTTAGTGTGGTTTCAGAGTACAATACTACACGACACTCAGTTACACAAAGACCATAAACATGTCCCACATATATTAATGCTAGTTATATTATTATGATGATATTGTGTCCCGATCGGAAGAAGAGCCGTTGACAGAATATCTGCACTCTTTTTATGATCTCGCATAAAACTTGGAATGACAATTAATTGTAATAATTATTTAGTAAACTACGTTTAAAAAACCGACTTCTATCCCCTAGTTTTTTGAAGTCGGATAATTAATATATTTATTTATACAAAATACTGAAAACCGCATAAAAATCGGTCCTGTCAATCGTGAGATAGTGGCGTACAAACATACATACATACACAGGTCAAACTGAAAACTTCTTTTTTTTGAAGTTACACAAAGTTTTACACAAAGAAAATGATTACATAATGAACCCAAAAAATATTTAGCATGAACTAAAATATCAAAATTAAGTCCATACTTAATATTTTCTTTTAATCCATGTCTCCAGTCCATCTGTTTAGGGAATTCATCATCATCGTCATCAACATATCAGCCACACGACGTCCACCGCTGACAATAGGCCTACCACAGTTAGGTTAGTTAGGAAATTAACTATTTTGCACAACTTTTATATGAACCGTTTTATATGAATGTCCAAAAGCAGTTTTAAAGACAATCTGTTAAAGTTACTTTTCAAATCCAAATAACTTTAATTTGTGCAATGCATTTTCATGTTGTGCCAAGATTTACCTTCAGTTAACTACTTAAGCTGACAGAGTGTAACTACTAAAGATAATTTTACGCAGGTATGGTATGTCTGTCACTGACGCCGGGTGCGTCACCGCGTCGTGTGAGCGCTGTAGTGCGGCGCGCATGCGAGCGACAACGCGCGCTCGCAGCTGGTTGGGCGGCGCAAGCGCGGTTTGGAGCGTTGACGCGCGCAATACCATCTCCACTCGCACGTCTGATACTCAATCTAGTGTCACGACGTTATGCGCTCTCTTACGCCGAGATTGACGCGCCGCCTCACACGCCTCCACGACATACGCTGTGGGGACAAGAGGTCGATGCCGTCGTGTATTGGAGACCTCCTCAAGCGAATATAAGTAAGTTACAACTGATAAATGAGCTAAGCTAAACTCATAAGAGAATCGAAGTTCTGTGCCAACTCTAACTGCTATAAATGAGTTGCTATTACTACAACTAGATTTTAGTGACATCCTTTAAATATGAATATTTATAATTCCAGGTATGTCGCTAACCGTGATTCAGTACGCGGACACCGTACGTCTAGCAGTAATGGCGGACGCACGGCTGGTGCCGTCTCACATCATCCCGGCCACTCGCTGGCCTACCGCCATCGAACAGCTAGTCGCTAAGATCGACCAGGAAATTGCCAAGATCACTGCTAGAGCGCACCTTGCCGCTGGAACTGTACCACGAATTATTACCCCAGAAGAGGTACCAAGTACTAGCGCGGAGAGTCAAGAAGATACAGAAGATGCAGAAGACTCTGGAGATACTTTACGACCTCCACCGACTACGGCAGTGAGCCCACCTCCCATGCGCCGACGTATAGCCAACTAGTTCAATCACTAGCTTCTAGCTAAGCGAAGTAAATTCAATACAGTCAAGTGGCTCTGCCACACCGGGGGCAGGAATTTACCAAGTTACCGACACGAGATTGAAGTAAATAGGTGGAAAGTGGACGTACAGACTCATCATATAAACGATGAGATGACTGCTAGTTATATACAAACGTGATAAATTGTGTGTTTATCTATATTATTATGTTGACATTCGAGAGTACCTAATTACATAAGTCGTTATTATATCTGATGTTATGAAACTGTGATCATGTCAATGTCAATTGTTAGTTAGTTATGAAATTTATTATTGTTTTTAATAAAAGTGGAAAATATTTTCGTTTTTATTTCAATCCTGTAACTAGACGATATTCGAAATATTTTGTTATTTAGTGTCCCTTAGTTATAATCTTTAATACGTAATACGGTTTGCTACTTGAATAGAATTGCATGTCTATTTTCTCACACCCAACATCAATTACAAGCCCGATCATAATTAATATGGTAGAATAAAACTTCAAAGGCAACAAGAGGTGTAGAATACTTTATTAACGTATTTAACATTTTATTTCATAACCTTAATGACTATAATATAAATTAAATATAACAATTTGCAGAAAATATTATATAATATAATCCTACATTGTGAATTTCATTCTAAGACAACAATAAAATTCAAAGAGCGTAGTTCATAACTTCGGAACGAACTTGTAGCACTCGTAGCATTGCGTAGTCAATTTACGCAATGCTACGAACTGTGGCTACATTTGCTACACACGCGTAGTAGCACGCGTAGCGTCGCGTAGTACAGGTTCCGCGATGCTACGATCTGTGGCTAAATTTGTTACGCATGCGTTTATCACACGTAGCGTTACGTAGTCAGTTTACGCGATGCTACGAACTGTGGCTACATATGCTACACATGCATAGTAGCACTCGCAGCGTTGCGTAGTTAGGTTACGCAATGCTACGAACTGTGGCTACATTTGCTAGACACGCAGTTACGTAGCTACGCATTGATGTTTACGGTTAATGAACAACGCAATTAAGTTTTTGCAGTAGTAAATCAAATGGCTAAATGTGCAAAACATTGGTAATATTTGCATTGCAGTAAGTGCTTAATATAAATACAATAAAGATTATTAAACACTGTTTAATAAATATATAAAGGGATCTTTTTTAAAATGTGCGCAAGAAAGCGAAATATGAGAACGACGTCTTTAGAATCTGAAAACAAGAAAAATTATGAAATTATTACTTTTTTCTCATAATTATATTCTAACGTATTAAGTTACCTCGCTTTTAACCGCGGATTAGCTTATCCAAATTCGGTCTATGACCTTCTTCGTACTCTCAACTCTGTATAATTATGAACGCATGCAATATTGCACTTTGAATTAAAGATATTAAAGTATTGTTTGTAAAGCTTACCGAAGCCATAGTCGTGACCCCTACATCGACCAAACCTCCTGCTTTCACATGGATTGGCTCCTGAACTTTTATGAGAAATATTAATACGGTCCTACGATTCTTAGTGTCCATGTACTCCCAAGGCATTTTGTATACCGCATCCTTTAATTTCTCACTCTGGAAGTGCGAAATTGTTTATAATGCATAAAAAAAAATATTGAGACCCTTATTCCAGTTACTAAAAAAACTGTCTCATTTGTCAGAAAGTTTGTTTAGTAACGAGTTTAGCAGCCGTTGCTGCTGAGCAAAATTCTAAGAGCAAACCGGGACTTTGTGGAATAAAAATTGTTTTTAGTCGATACTAACTACTAGCCAATAGAATGTACCGTAGTACGGCACGTTCTTGAGATTTTGTTATCTAAAATTGTACCTGGTGTACAATGATGTTACTATTTCGAGGAAAAAGGGTAAAGTATAAAAAGCAATTACCATTGTGCCGATAGTTTCGAAAATAATTGACAGTAGGACCAGCTCTCCAAACATGATTATGGTTAGTGGTAAATAACGCGACAGGGCTGCAGCCGTCTGTATTAAAAAATATAGAAATTACTTTCTATTAGAACTTTACATAGAACTTTTATTAAATCTTTAGAATGTTTGTCTATGTTGTAGTTGCATTTACAATTACTTTACCGAAACATGGATGATGTCCAAGAGCCAAAATACAAATACTTTCTACTTACCAATACTTAAATTAAATTTCAAAAAAAGCCTTACCATTTGAGAACATTCTAGTAAGAGTAGACAGCCAGTAATTTGATGGAAGGAGTAATATATAAAAAGCGCCATTCCAAATGCATCTGACATATTGTTTGTAAAGCTGAAATGTGTTTAACCCGTTGAAAATCATCCCCTAAATTTGTTCATACAAAAGTAGTCTCTATACATTGGAAATAAGGTCTATAATGTAGTTAGGGGAGAGCGGTCACAGGTGACCGCATGGGAATATATGGGTAGGAAATAAAATACTAACATTCGATCAAATCCTGGTTAAGACTAAGGTCAGTATTATAGAACGATAGTGAAGCTGAGATCTTTTCTCAAGCATTGTTAAAAAGGGATGCACATATTCAACAGATATGTGCATCCCGTTCCGACTTAACTCAAGTAAAGATCCTCTCGAATCTTTAGATATAAAATTGATCTTAATGTCGACCTCAATTTAGTTGTAAACAGGCCAAGGGAAATAAGAGTCAATAAAACTCACTCAACAATCAACATATGATACTGTATGCATTCCTTCAACTTGATGGAAACCTCTTCCAATTCACTCTCTGAGTACATTTCGGACCCTATAATCCTGCCGCTTCTTTCCTCCCCCTCTGCATCAACCACTTCTGTCGCTGGTCGTGGAAAGTGGTCCAGGTTGTAAATAAGTATTTTGAAATGCCCCCAAAGATTGAAGATCATCAGGCAGAGGAACAGGTCGAACATGGATACGCTGCTGCCACACAATACTGTGCCGTACCTTCAATGGCGACGGATAGAGCAAAGGATTAGACGTGCTTCATTATAAATATTATGAGAAAATAGAACTGCCTCAATGGACGAGTGATCGCAAGTGCGACGCATGGGCAAAGTATTACTGGGTTTTAAAAAAAAATCACAGTAGCACGGAGTCTGGAATTGTGCCCGGTATATGGCAATAGGCTCACCCCCTATTACATAGGACTCATAACATAAATAGTGAAAAGTGGGAGTTACATTATACAGTGGCATAATGTACACCTCTGCCTACCCCTTCGGGGATAAAAGGCGTGATGTTATGTTATGTTATGAGAAAATAGAAGCCCGAGACCTTTCAATTAAGACATTTTAAGTTCATAACTGCCGATAAAAAATGTTGAAGGTAATAATCATCTTACTGGCTTTAACCAACCCGTATCAACTCCTGCTCCGAGCCGAACCGCGGTAACCTATTACGCTTGACCTGTAACCTCCGTCAACTAGGGATGCACTTACTTATACCTCTACAATGTATAATATAACATGAGAGGGCAAACGAGACTCACTATTAAGTGTTTTAGTATTTCATCAGTCTTCAAAGAGTACCTAGTCAGAAAATGCATCTGTTACACTCATTGAAGTTATATGTACTGAAGAGTTATTCATTATTATTTACTGCTAGCTTCTGCCCGCAACTTCGTACGCGCAATCCCGTTTTCTCCCGTTCTCATAAGGATTTCAAGATTTTTTTCTATCATAAGAACTTTCTCCTGACAATAACAAACACAACAAAAAAAATCAGCCAAATCGGTCCAGCCATTCTCAAGTTATGGCGTGACAACGGGAAACGGGTTTCATTTTTATGTATATAGATTAGTGAATGAACTCCTGTATTGTCCCTAAGGCAATCTAAGCAAGTGCCTAAGGCACCAGGTTACAAAAGGGCCCGCCCCTTGAGACGCGCGTACTCAAGTGCCCATAGATAAGAGTGACAAAAAATTTATGGACGCCTATGAGGTGCTTGTCTAGGAGGCTCTCTAGGTTTAATCTCATTCTGGAACTACCAAGACTTCAGAAAAAAAAATGTAGGTCATATATATTTACCAGCCACTGAGAGTTGCAACAACATATCCCTTGAAATTAGTTTCAAAGTTCCACGGATATAAACAAGAAATAGCTTGTTCATACGTTTTATTTTGTAAGTTATCGAACGAGGCGAAGTTTCCGGCAGCGTAATTGTTGTACATCGGTATCAGATTGAACAGACAGGCCGCTATGGAGAGCATTATACTCACGTAAATAGCTGCGAAATATGATATCCTGTGCACTGTTACATGTATCTGAAATTAGGGTAGTTGCCAGTGTAAGAAAATTAAAAACCTAATTAGTACGTCAGATAGATAATGAAAACATATTAAACACGTATTTTTTATTTTCTTGTATAAAGAAAGTTACAATACTTAGATAAAATGGCGTAAGTTTAGGAGTCGTCACAACGTGCTATAAAATTGAGCACGCTGTGACGTCACACGACATTTCAAATTAATATATCGTCGAAAGTACTATTGTGATAAAAGAAAAGATACGTGTGTAGGAAACTACCCTATTGGTAATTCTGTCAGTGCACTACGTTCTCTAATGTTTTGTAAATAAATCAAGCAGGAAAATTCGTGCTCTAATTAACTTTTAGAGCACCAATAGTACTTACGCTCATAGCATAATCAGATTTGTCCTTGAAATAAAACAGATGAACTTTTTGTATGAATATCTTTGCTACAGCTCGGTACTTTAGCGATAAGCACAGGGTAAATGCTCGCGACTGGAACAAGCAAGAACAATGTTAACCCTCTTTTAGTAGTTAAAAGGTAAAATACGTTTATCAAAGTGCTGAATATTTTAAATCCCATGTCGTCAAATATAATTTAGTAAATCTACTTCGAAACAAAGAAGCTAATATACATGTATAAATGTGATGTATAAATGTGAACACAGAGAAAACTAGAAAGTTGTACTTAAGCCGTCACTTATACATAAACCTAAGTAAATTATTTTCTGCCTCGCAAAACAAAACTGTGGAATGAACCGTCGCCGGCGATACTTCTGAACCGATACGACCTTTAAACAAGAAAAAAGCGTATTTTTTTTAAAAATAGCAACGCCAACTTGTCTTTGGTATAGCAGGTGTCTATGGTCGGCGCTAATAGCTTACCACTCGGTGATCCAACTACTCGTTTGTCCCTATTCCATAGAGCTAAATAAACAATTATTTTTCGTTTAACAACACTGCGTTCGGCACTCTGATTGCCCGGCTCCAATTAAACAAAATCATACTAAGTCCTCAGAAAAAAAAACTATAAAACTCACGGTAGACAACATATTCATAAGTAACACTATGTACAGTTGTCCAAGTTCCAAAAATCCGAATCTATGAGCATTCTTCCTCAAATAAGCTACGCCTAGGGCCAAATATATTAGGGAAAGTATAGTATTGTAGTACGCATGGCCCATGCCCTCGATTTTTAGGGTTTTCTCGCCGAGGGCCTGTCCTGGCCAACCACTTATAATACGGAGAACAAAACGCAGTACTTTCATATATTTGTAGTCCATAGGACCGCTGATACCTCTGGAAAAGTTTAGAATAGTGTTAGTTAATAGATAAAGTATTAAATGAAGATAATTATTATAGTAATAAGATTCTTTGCCTTGCTGGACGAGTGGTCGCGAATGCAAAGCGTCCCGGATTCGATTAATTAATTAAATCAAATTAGACTAGTAGAATGCATTTATGTCAGCTTGGAGTTGTCATGCTCACTCAAAGATCTCATTGGCGGTGGCACGTGCATTGGATCGCTCGATTCCCTACAAAATGGTTGAGATGGGCGGTGCTGGGGTACGAATGTGAAATGTTCGTGAACGGGCACCGTCGATTGGAACTGGTCAGCTCCAGATTGTGTCATTTTATTATCCTCAAGGTTATTTTCTTTTTCAATCTCTTTGACTGGATTTAGGTGTTGCATTGTTATCACACAATCGAACCAATAAAACTATGAATTAACTAGAGAAATGTATTGTAAACCTGATTGAAAAGAGTCAATTTAGTTTCTTGCTAGTTCTTCTCCATAGGAATCTACACCTTAGAATAAGCAACCAGCTTCACTTCTAAATTTATGTTGTTGACGTTCAAAAGTGCTATCCTGGTCTAATTGAAATAAATGATTTTCACTTTAACTTTGACTTTGATTCCCGGGTCGGGCAAAATAGTACTGTTATTTTTTTAAATATCTGTAGTAGCATGGTGTCTGAATTTGTGCCCGGTATATGGCAATAAGCTCACCCCCTATTACTTGGGACTCATAACATAAATAGTGAAAAATGGATGTTACATTGTACAGTGGCATTAAGTGACGTAATGTTTACCCCTTCGAGGATAAAAAGGCGTGATGTTATATTATGTTATGTTAACATCATAATTCACAACATGAATAAAAATCAAATTGAATTCGACTGAATAAAGATTGAACCCGAAATTATTTTCACTGTAGGAAATTCATATCAATTTTAACTTTACAATATAAATATAATGTACTTACACAACAGCGTCACCCGCATATGTATCCAAGCTAAACATTTTTACTTATTGTAAGACGAGCAACAATAACAATTAAACACTACAATGTTAACTGTAGAAATACATTTTATACAATAATGTATGAAAGTAATGATATCTACCTATCTACCTTGAAACGGTGACAATTGATTCCTATTAAATACGTAATATCTTAATATTATATTCTCTTTCATAAACTTATTGATAGGTGTGAAATTGATGCAAAGTATGTCATTATAATGACATGCAAGTGACGCGTAAATTATTATTCAAGGACCATGTTTTATATTAAAACTAGCTTCTGCCCGCGACTTCGTACGCGCAATCCTGTTTTCCGGGATTTTCGGTAAAAAGTAAAAAAGTATTGAATAAAAATCCTATGTCCATCTCCTGGTTCTAAGCTACCTCCCCACCGATTTTCATCCAAAACGATTTAGCTGTTCTTAAGTTATAAATAGTGTAACTAACACCTCTTTCTTTTCCATATATAGATTTATTGACCTCGAAAAGTACCAAATTATGGTTTAAACTGTCAAACACCAAGCGGTCACCGGTGACCGCAACCTATTGTTCTATAATTGTGTCTATAATGACAGTATTCGACGAGTTAATTCAAATAAATGCTTTGACTTTGAATTTAAAAAAAAACCACTAGAATGAGTAATAAAAATATATATTTACAAATACATACAGTATCATTTCTTTTTAGACTTCTTACTGCTTTTGGCTGGAGTCTCTTCTTTGCGTTTTTTCTGTTCTTTCTCCGTTTCTGTCTTGGTATCTTCAACTTCCATAATGTCGACACTGAACCCTGGTATATGTGGCTTCACCAGCTCGAAAACCAGTTTTCTGTGTTGAAGATTGCTACTGTCCAGGCTAAGACGAACCGTGAGTTCATCAAATGTCTTCAGTACTATGTCTCCGCATGTCTGGATGTGCTCCTGTTGAGGAAATATTGTGTTAAATCAGGTTTACAGTTGGCATGTTTTATTTGCATCGGTTTTTAAACATACATAGTCAAATTACTATCCATTACTTATCCTTTTTATATTATTATGAGCATACAATTTGGACCTATGCCAATAGAAGGACAATTACACAACGTATGATAAAATTACTTTAGCAGTAGTATTAATCCCCTTTTTCATGTAACATTTGATATCCTCTTACCTCTTCATTATATGTGAACTTATCAGAAGGCAGGTACAAAGGCCCCTCGAGCCCATACTTCGGTATAAGCACATGCACCGCGTTCCGTTTCACGGCAAGTACACTTGCCAACTCTATCTCCACGCGTTTGTTGAAGAGGATCTGTAGAAATAATTAAATATAGCTCATTAGTATTTTATCATTGCTAACTGACTATTGCGCAACTGGTGCGTGAATACTGCGCAACTGATGCGCAATATTGCGCAAACTATAACTGTGTAGTATCTTTTACAGGTAAAAATAACCAGAAAAATATCGCCCCTTTCACAACCCCTGTCAAATATTCTCCAAAATCCCTGGGAGGACACCGGTTTCCTCTCTTCTCTACTCCTTTATAGACTTTATTATCGATTTTTAAATACTCCTCCTGTATGAACGAATTTTAAAAATGAACAATATACTATATTATACGTACATGTGTGTTCATAGTAACAGAAGCTCGTCCAGCGTACTGCGCCTGCCGGTGTCTGTAGTTGAGGTTGTCGCAGACGGAGTTGGCGACCTTCGTGTCCAGCAGCGTGGCGTGCGTCACGTCGCAGTCTATACTCGCCGCCAGCAGACGATGTACTATCACGTCCGCGTAACTTGGGAGGGAAAATATTTATTTATTAATAATAATTATTGTCCATTACATTTAGATTAAAGTTGTCTAAAGGGCTTCTGCGCACTTGGTTTCAGCCCCTCGTAAGCCTTCCAAATGACCTGAGCCCTGTGGTCCCGTGAATGGTAAACATACACATAATTATAACATATTTTCTTCAGAAAAAAAAAACTTTTAATTAGGATAAAATGATGAAAGATTATCAGACTTTCATTTATAATTTTTGCGATATACTTGTACGCAATTTTCGTATTATTCTTTTTAAGAAATAAGTATGCCATTTTGACCTTCCTCGCAGCCCCAAAATCCAAATAGTTCTTGAAAATGCATGTGCGTTGCGTAATTTCCATTACGAATTACGACAGTAGGAAAAGCCCTGGTACATTAGTAAAACTACCTTAAAATGTGTATACTGTAAAATAAAGTATAAAGTACAAACGTCTTACGAGTACTTACCGTCTGATTGGCGACGTGAAATGTGTGTAAATAGGGCAGGCGAGACCATAATGGTAGTACTCCTCGACAGTCTTACTCCCGCTAGAGAAATACTGAGCCTGTTGCATACAACGCGTCGCCATGATGCGCAGTAGTGTGTTGAAGAACGGACGGCCTGGGATCACTGCCGAGTCCAGGGACTTGGAGAATGCCTTGTTCGTCGATACGTCTAGGTCGAAGCCCTAAAAAATATAGGTAAATATACATATAAAAATGTAAGCAAATAAAAAAATGTTATAACTACTTATCCTCTGAAGAGCACGAGGAAGTTATGTAAAAATATTAAATATATTACGTAACATCTTTTTGCAATATAGTTGAAAATCGATTAATGCAATTTACGACTTAACGATCGACATTTGTGATATTGAGATTGTCTAAACTTCCAAAGTAAACTATGATTTATGAACTTCACGTTAACATTAATTATGATTTGTATGGGACCACAGCGCATTCACAGTGCGTTGTTGCTCGCACTGTGCAAATCGAATTGAATCGAGTTACTATACGCGATCGAATCTGTGAAAAATCTCGCATTAGGTACAAAAACATAGAAAACGAAATCTGGTTGTAACCTGTTGTTTAGCAGCCTTCAAGAAAGTATGGAAGTTGGCGGGCGGCGGCGCGGGGTGGCGCCGGAGCAGCGCGCACTGCGGGAACTCCGCCGCCAGGCGCTGCGCCACGCTTATATTGGCCAACAACATGAACTCTTCTACCATGGAATTCGTGTCTAGAATCTTCTTCGCTTGTACTTCTACAGGATCGTGTGTTTCTGAGTCGATCTGATAAATTGATAAATGTACGGGTTAGATAACATGTTATTATTAAATCGTCTGAATCTTCTTAGAAGAAAGAAACGATCATTATATCAAGAGCGAGAAAAGCAATTATAACAGATTTTTATACGAATATGATTGGGTGGTAAACAATCAGTTGGCTCACCTAATGGTCAATTGAACCAATTAAAATTTCAATGAAATGTTGTAAAAAAATGTAAGAAACAAATGAGTTCTATAATTATATAATGTTTAATGACTTACTCCCGTAATCACTTGACTAGGAGTTCAACTAGTTTCAAGTCACTCAAAGGGCTCATATTCATGCGCTCGATACGAGTATGTTTGTCGACGAATTTCACTACTGAATATCGTTTCGATTTTTTCTGTCAATCATAAATCTAATTAGCTTACCTGGAACCTGATTTCAGGTGAGGATAGCGACAAGGCTCCGTTGTCAAGACGTTTTCTATTGAGTTTCTTGGCGAGTGCGTTCAATATCCTGAGAGATGACACGATGGCGTCATTCCGTGACTTGTCATCTATCGCTATTTGAGCTTCCTCGTATGTCATCGCTGCTGCTGACTGGAATTACAGAAAAATAGATTACATTATGTTAAGATTCTATTTTATAAATGTAAAGTTTGTAGAGGTTTTAGTCGTGGTGGCCCGGAGATTAAGACGCCCTCTTCCCATGCATGAGGTTGGGGGTTCGAAACCTACCAACGGAAAGTACTAATGTGACTTTTTCCGAGTTATATGTACTTTCTAAGTTTATTTAAACACCACTGACAAATGGTGAAGGAATGAGCAAGCGTGGTGATTAATGCTCAAACCTTCTCCATGTGAGAAGAGGCTTTGCTCAGCAGTGGGCATTTATAGGCTGTTGATGATGAGGTTTTAGTGTAAACATCATCATGTCCATGCTTTGAACTGGTACATAGAAATTCACTTAATGCACCCTATAGCGAATGTTAACAGTTTGTACTCATTACCGAGAACTATGGTGCTCAAACATGTAGGTAATTAGTATTTTTAGTTTAAGTGGGTTTGTGTAGGATGTGTGTGTGTGTGTGTGTGTGTTCAATTCAAACTACGAAGCTCTTGATGTTAAGGATTGAACTGTTTACTCAGTTTTGTTACCTCAAAAATTCAGGACATACTTTTCGCTATCGATTTTAAAAGTTCATGCACACTATTTTCAGATTCACAAAATATAGAACTTTTACTTACTTTTATGACACTTTTATGAAACTTGGTATGGAGAATATTGGCATTCTCATCTACTTCCCACACGCAAGAGAAAGCCAAACGCTCCTCGCCGCCTCGTAACGAACATAAGTTTGAACTTAGCAAATCTGAAATAGAGATGAAAAGTAAAATTAGTCAAAGTCAAAGCATTTATTTCAACTAAACCATAATTTGGTACTTATTAAACGTCAATAAATACAAAATAAATTATAGTCTGTCAGTTGTCCGTCAATGAAGCTACGTGCTCATGCCAAAATGTAGATATGTATTACTATAAACGTAAATGTATATTGACAGTTGAACAATAGTATGCACCGCAAAAGATATAATAATATAGTTAATAGGCATCTAGCTTAAAAATAAAACAAATACTACTATGCACACATTTTAAGTTGTTCTTGAATATCGTGCTGTCATTTTGTCAATTGTCTATCAGCGTGAGGCGTTAACGTATATTATAAGTTAACGTTATAAGCGTAACGAGAGGCGTTTAAGTATATAATTAAAACTTTAACGATTATACTGATTTCGATGACACATGAACATAGCTTTTTAGATAAACTAAAACTTAGAAGAGAAGAATTTCGAATGAAGTAAAAGTTAGTAAAACAAAACAATAATAAACAATACAAACCTGGCACCATATCAATCCTGCGTCCAACAAGATAGACAGTAGTAGATCTGTTAGCAGCTTCCTTGTCTAGCGCAGTGTTAGGTCGGACGAAATGTGTGACGTCAGCAATATGGA